TCTTTGTTCTATCCCTGCAGCACAGCCTACAAAAAGCATTCCTTGTGGGAGCTGTTAGCCTTGAATAATAAAAGAGATAACATGCAGAGAAGGCTGAAAAGAACCATTGCAGAGGTTAAGAGAGAAACACTAATTTTGGTAAGGAATTCCAGTGGTGGATGTAAAATTTGCTCGAATAAAAGGGAACATACGTTCTAGTGGCAAGACAGCTCAGCAACCAAGAAAGTTATCAAGCATGAAAAGTTTTATTTTCCAATTAGATCAGTTTAGGGAGTTTGATATATGTGACATGTTTCTCCACCGTGTCTTGTTCAACTTTTGGTCTCTGTGCAGTTGAGTAGCTCCAGGTTCAAGCCTGGATTTCTCCTTTGTCAAAGAATTTACGGGGGCAGAGGTGCCAGAAAGAGCCCCCAGCAAGTTTTCTCTTTACAGTTTAGTCAAAAAGTTTTCTCATTTTCACAAATGTTTCTGCTCACAAGTCAGTTGGAGACCTAGCAGAGACCAGGACAAGTTTTACAGAGAAGATACTGCTCCCATATCTCTGCTTCAATATTATTCTCTGAGAGCTGTTCCCTAGAAAATATGTTGCTCTCATATCGCCAGCCAACATCTGGCCTGAGAACTCCTGCTACACAGATATGAACACAGTCCCAGACTTAATGCATTGCTGAACTTCCCACTGAGCAGGAGTAAAATATAAGAAAAGGGAGGGATGTAACACTGCCTTCAATTCTAGTGGTGCAGATTTATGACCCTGTTGAAAAGGTACTCCAAAATCCGCGGCAAGATAATCCTTGTTGGTCCCCTAGAAGTAGCTTTAAAATATAACCAACCCCACATAGGAAAGATGTGGTCCGTATCCTGCACACAAATAATCATGAAAATAGAAAAATACTTGGTAAATGCAAAATATAGGTCCAGGTAACCCCTAAGACTACTTATCTTCCGTTAGAGTTATGAGCTGAAGGGAACTGAGTGCCAAGTGTATGCATCACTGGCCAAGAGTGTGGAACAGGGTTTAGAGCACTGGGACACTGGAAGTCTGGTTGTCTTCTCTATACTGCCTCTCATCTGCTTTTCTCTTTGCCTAGCCTCTCCACTCTTCTGTACCTGTAAAGTAGCAATAGCAATAACACTTACTTCTTTTGTAAAGCATTAACATCTGCTAAAGCAATGAAAATTTCATCCTTCATATTAATAATAATAATTGATGGTGCCTATCTGAAAGCAAAAATGTACAGGAAGAGAACAGAAAGTATTTAGCTGGAAATATAGCAGTCAGGAGAAGTGTCTGTGTCATGTGTTGCAAATATGGAAAACAGAATACAAAAGGCCCATTTAATTCGCATGAGATTCCTAACTCCTCATGTACCACGTTTGGTGCTGATTTATTTGAATTAAGATGGCAAGAAAACCTCCTCTCGCTGTTTTTCGTTGAATTTTTAGTTTAGTTTTCTTTTGTTTTTAATCAAGTTCTTGCTCAAGCCCTGTGAGTAAGAATTCAGTAACACATTGTAAATCACATTCTGCAAGTTCTGTGACTGCAGATGAGATAGTAAAAGATAATGCTCTATACTTCACATGTGTCTGGTTTGTCATTCAGGCACCACATGTCAGATTCTCCCTATACACAGCTGAATGTATGAGCAGAAAAGCTGGTAGAGATTGCAAATAACATAATTTTAAAGTCCTGATAATTTGAATCCTTTAGGTATTGCTGAAACAATTTAAAATCTTATGAGTACAAGCCTAAACAATTTTTTTAAATTTTTCAGAACAGGAATTGACAAAAAAACCCAAACAACCAACCACAATGAAACAGGAAAAACACACAGTCAGCAATCCAACCTTCTCCAAGTAAACGGTAGAGAAAATTATATTCCAAAACAGAAGTGTCTGACATCCCATCATGATAACAAAAGATTTCTCAAAACTTGGCATCCCAAATAAACATTTCAGCAAAACTTTTTCAACAATGTAATATTTTTTTTAAGGTGTCAGGAATCGCCATTGATCACAGAAAAGGTCTATAGCAGAGTCACTGTTCTAAACCTACTTTGTAGTCTTTGGAGAGAAATAGCTGAATTGCAATCAAAAGAGCAATGTCTCTATGTTGTCCCTAAAGAGAGACTCATTTAGGGTGTCTGCAGCATACGTGTAACTCACACTGCTCATGTATATACCATTTACCAAAATGAAGCCCCAAATGGTGTGACAATTGACTCCTATAATAATATAAAGTCTAAGTACTTTTGTATAGTTTTATATGTGCCAGTATGCAAAATGAACAGCTGTGCTCTCATGTGCAGCAGGAAAGGACTGGTTTCTTATTCCTAAAGTTACCTGAGCTCCTCCTTAACACAGGTAAAGTTACCTGTCTCTGTTTCTACTGCTTTCCTAATCACTCACACAAATGCATATTAACTTAAACAGGCCATTGAAGAAGGAAGAGCCATGGAGTTGCTGAGGACACATCAGTCAGGATGGTTCCACAGACAGATGAAAAACAGAACATCATTTTGTTTGAAGAGTTCCATGCCAGTGTCTCTCCAAGATACCTTTAGATGGGTTTTGTACTGATCAGATGTATTGCTACCAGAAAGCTTTGTATGAATAAAGTAACAGTAATTCTGTACAGGGCTTATTCTTTTTTTCTGGTTTCCCAGTTGTTAAGGATGCAGGAAGCTTAAACACCTTGAAAATGAACAAATACCTTGTGTCCTAAATGATAATGAATGGTCTTCATAACTAGAGAATAGCTTCATAACTACAGATATGGGTATATATTTGATATAATTATGTACACGTTGCATTAAATATAAGTGTGTATATGTTATGCATAAACATATATAAAATAACAGGCATTTGATAGGATCAAGCAAAAGAACAAAAAGCCCTATATTAGTTACTACTGAAGAAGAGCTTACCCAAACAAGTTTGCATGAAAACACGCATATATTCACTTATCCAGAGCATGTAGAAGGTGTGGTGCTACTGTCTTTCATTTCAAACAAAGGAATGACCAGTTATGTATTTAGTAAGAATTTTAAAAAACATTTCTCTTTTCTAGTATATTTTGAGTAGAATATCAGCACTTGGAGGTATCATTTGAAGGCATGATTTTTACTAGTAGTGTAGATGTTTCACTATCTGCAGTTTAGGAAGTAACAATATAAAAGCAATTTTGCAAAATGTCTCTACTAAAAATGAACTGTAACAAAATCTATGCATAACCATTGATGATCTCTTGCTTTTCCTTTGAAAAGAACACATCAAGTCACTGCCATTTTATCATGCATCTTAGAAGCAAAATCACAGCAAAGGAAAATATTATTACAGGTTTATTATGTCTCAAAATATAGAAATATATTCCGACAGCATATTTTAAAGAATAATATAACAATAATCTTCAGCTTCTTAGTCTCAAAATGGTACACCATTATTTAAAAATATATTACTTAAGGTACCCAAAATTTAATATCCATCAAATTCCATTCAGAATAAATTGAGTTCAAAAAAAGCACATCCACCTACCCAATTTATACAGAAACCAGTAAATCTTTTGAAGACAACCCAGGAATCAAACTGTTCCAAAATGGTAACTCAGATGGAGACATATTTTGCCGTATACCCTTCTGCATGAGCTGCAACTAAATGTAGATATGTAGGTAATGTCAGTATAAAATAGATATGGAAGTGTAAAATGGAACTGTTCTATTAAGAGGAAAGATTCCCAAGACTGAAATCAGGCCTGCTAATTTATTTTCTTTTTTTAACTGAGTGTATGCATAAAAAGGATTTATGTATTACTCCAAAAGCAAGATAAAATAAATTAGTTTCTGCAAAAATGACAGCTGCACGTTCACATGCATACACACAGCCACACGCACACACTGATTTTATCAGTCTGTAATAATCTGAGTTTTCTGAAATATGTTTTAAATAACTGGAGAAGTCAGAGTTACATGAATAGACTGTCTAAGGAGAAACTGATATGTCCTATGCATTTTTAAGCAACTCTCTGAGAATGGTTTAAATGAAGCATTTTTAGTGAAGTCAATTCATGATAAATTCATATATTATAATTAGCCATGTAATAGAGAGAAAATAGAGTTTCTATTTTCCCATTTTCATAACACTAAAACAAAGGGGTGTCCAAAGACATTAAATGTCCTTAATTCAAAATAAGCATATATGTAATGGTGGAGGAAATGTAATCTGTAATTTGTTATGCAATTCACAACCACAGGATTTGATTTGAGGCTAAAAATTTAGGGAGATTAAAACATTATTGTATGGAATTAAGATTTATAACAAAGTTACAATAGCTAATGCAAAATAAAAGGAACAATATCCCATATTGAGTCTCATTATTTAAACCAATCCCCACCTGATAGATAAGCAGATGGGACTGAAAGTAGGCTGCAAATTACCCAATGCCTTGTTATGAAAGGTGTTTTTCATCTTTGCCTGAAAACAGCCATCACTACGGATATGAGTTTTGATTAAAGAGGTGACAACTGCATCATACCCAATGCCTTCCCTCACACACTCACAAAACATATCCAGAAGTAGGAGTTAGATAAAGCAAAGCCCTTCCATACTGCGCCTTCTGTATATTTTGTGTATATAGTGTATATGCTGTGTATATAATGGGAAGGATTGTGTGGGGTTTTGTATGATTTTCCCTTGTGGTGCTATTATAAAAATACTTGCCAGAGCAGTGTAGTAGATAAGAGACTCATATGATTTGAGGTAATAATGTTGTAGTTCAATTTTTAGTGTTAACTTGGAAAGTCCTAGGTAAAGGCAAGAGTCTGTCTACATGGAATTTCCGAAGCCTGGAGCCTTTTGAAAACTCTGCAGCTCACAAGCCAAAAAGTAACATACTCCTCCAGTTACACTCATTTTGTTAAAGAAAATAGTTATAACAATTATGTGCAATTTTTTCACTTCTATTTTCTATCTACTATTTATTTACTTAAGCACTGTTCAACATTTCACTTTTTCTAATGGAGCAGAACTTCTAAAAGAAAAAATATGTTTAGCTGAGCAGTTTTGTTTAGTTTTTTCCCCTGTGTCTTTTTCTAAATAAATACCTCGCCACAGTTTTCATTGGCACAATATGACCAAATGTATTTTAGTTCCTTTAACAATACAAAGCCGTTACAGAAGTTCTGGAGTTTCTAGTTTTGAAAAATTCTGTACAAAGGTTTTACTTTAAAATATTGAGATGGAATGAAACAGATTTCAGCATGGGCTGTTGAAAAATTAGTTTGTGAACTTCTACTGTGTGGTGAGGTGACCCATAAAATAAATGGTTCTGAAATTTTGCTCATACAAAAGAAACTATATACTTTTAAATAAATAAAAGCTACTATATACATTATACTGTACAATTAAATGAGAGATGACATGAAATGGAATAAATTTAGGCCTGCCTTTTCATCAGCAAGGCTCATATCTTGACTTTATTACAATTTTGAATAAAACCCTCTGCTTTAGATTATTTTTTATTCTAGTGGCAGCCACATGAGCGCACCACCATATTCCTGTATTTTTTTAAAATAACATTGGAACTGTCATCAAAGTAGAGCACGGAGATTGCGTTCAGTTTTGTTGGTGCACAGCATGGCTTTGGTACATGATCAGGGAACATCAAGTGAACCTGAAAGACAGATAAATACATAGCTCATATATCAAACAGAGAGGTACAAGGACAACATCAGTGCAAAACATGTCTGCAATTCAGAGAAGGCTGTGGTCACAAATTTTCTTTGGTTAGCAACTTTAAAGCATAGCTTACCTCCAGAGCATTGCTCTGATTTCAATTGCATGGGCAGAGTTTTACAATAAAAGCAGATGGAAAGATAAATGAAGAGAAGTGGTAAAGACAGAAAGTTGGTTTTCAGATGAAATTTAGAAAAGAATTGGAGTTAGGCAGCTGCTCAGGAAAACATTTAAACATATTGTGCGTACCACCTTTGAGGAGGACAGTGCTTAACACGAAGCAAAGGCTCAAGCCCTGGATCTCACCAGGACTCAAGCACGTGCAAAAAAAATGCTTTCCTGGGTTGAGGTCTCAGCGTGGAGGAAAATCTGTTGCGGACAGCAAAGGCTGTGCAGGCAAAGGCTCTGGAACTGTTTTCAGCCTATGAAATGGTAAGATATGTGCTCTTAAACAGTATGAGTGCATTCTAAGGTCTTATCTACATATCAGTGGATCCAACTCTACTTCCACTGAAGTAAAAACAAGGTGGGTGCCAGCTGGACAAAATGTCTGGGGAAAGGGCTGAGGAAGAAAAGTCTTTGTGTTCTCTAGGCTGAAATATATCAATGAAAGGTTAAAGAGAAGGAAAAGAGTTTTGAACAGCATCCCAGAACAAACAAGACCTAGTGGAAATATCTGAAAATGGGGGAAATACAAGTTCTTTGTACTTGAAAGAAGGTTGGATGTAATATTCTACACATGATGAAGACTTGGAAACTGGGGAGGCCAGAGAAGAGGGAGTTGTAATAGAGAGGGCAAGAGATTATTAAGGCATGGATGAAGACTTCAGCAGTAATAGGTTTCATTTGTATGTTAAGTCTTTGTAAATCTGTTAGAGCCATCTGTCTTGCAGTGATATAAGCTCAGAGCCTTTGCCAGACAACAGAGAACAGTCTATCAGGAAACAATTTTTACATAACTGTTACCATGAGAAGGTCTTTTGAAATGAGTAATAATAAATCCTGAAGTAGCAGTTTAGTAAAGGTTTAGACACACACTTAAAAATGGTTTAACAAATGAGCAGCAAAGCACTGGAGAAAAGAATGATTGTGCCTCATCCAGGCAGATGTTTGCCCTGCCATAAATCCTGGTCCCACCAGCCTCTGCCACCCCTGCTGGAAACTCCATGGCCCTGCTAGCCTTCCATGGCAGCAATGGTCACAGGCTTTTCAAGTGTTAGCTCCAAATTCAGGGCCAGCCAACCTGCTGATCCACTGTCTCTCGTGACCAGGAAGTCAGTGCATCTCCTGAGCCTGGTCTGAGGGAGATGGGAAGCAGGAGAGAAGAAAGCTTAAAGAACACATTAAATGCAGCCTATCTTGGTTTTATATGGGTCTGTATCATCTGTTCAGCTGCTGAAAAAAAGGAGAGAGAGGTAATTGCCTAGCATTTCTCCAATTCTTATTACAAAAGAAAATAAAAAAAGAGTCAGTGAAGTTTGGAGGGGTACCAAGGAAAAAATCATTTCCCAACTCAAAGAGTGGGCTTTTTCAGAATGGTGTAATCAGTATGGCTGGGAGATGACTACGTTTGGATTAGGGTGGGGCGTATGAATAATTGTTTCCCAAACCATCCCCATGTGCACACCTTGTGTGAATCTGAATTTTGTATAATTTAAACCAGAAAGCATTCAACTACTGTTATCTCATCTAATTTATGTGCAGCTAAAATTTAATTAGCCTCATGATTTTTTGGCTGCACAACTGAATGCATGTACTGTACAAGCGGAGGGAGACACACAAAAAGGCCATAATAAAGGGAAAAACTCGAGTATCCAATTTAAAAAATAGGACAAACTACACACATTTCTTAACAATTGGAAATTAATCATTTTTGGACATGAAAGACATATAAGAGAAAGTAACATTGGGCAAATTCTTATTTAACAGTCCATAATTGCAGGAGGGAACTCTTACCTGGGGATCTCAATGGTATTGGCAACTTTTATGGACAATGTTTACATAATGCTAAACTATTGCATTGCTGACCTATTTCTTTTTAGCTCTGAACTGTTCTTCGTTGTCTCCTAAACACACTGCTGTATTTCTTGCCAACTGGCACTTTCTGTTTCCTTTCACCTGAACCCTTTAACACACTTCTATTTATTTCCAGCCTGACATTTTCCCTTCTTTTTATAAATCTTGCTGACTTGAATTCTGGTATAGAGGAATAATGTTGCATTGGTGGCTGGACTTGGAAAGGGTGCCTAAACGAAAAGCTGAATGGAAAGGAAAATGTCTCAGTATATGCTGAGTTTTTAAAAATGTCCCTCTCACAAAATCATAGAATCAACTGGATTGGAAAAGACCTCTGAGATCATCAAGTCCAACCCTTGATCCAACACCACTGTGGTTACTAGACCATGGCACTAAGTGCCACATCCAGTCTCATCGTAAAAACCTCCAGGGACGGAGGTGCCCACCGCCTCCCTGGGCAGCCCATTCCAATGTCTGATTGCTCTCTCCATAAAAAATGTCTTCATAATATTCAACCTTGTAAAAATACATGATTTTCACAAGCAGAATTTGTTTTCTATCAGAAAGACATAAAGCTTCATTTTTGTTTATTTACTTTTTTGGTTTTGGGTTGTTTTTTGGTGCGGGGATTAAATTTGAGGGAGATGTTTGGAGTGATATCCCAGTATGGTAGCAGCTGCACTCATTTCTGAAGGAGGTAAGGTTTTTCAGGCCCATATTTTTTATGTGAAAATCAAAGAAAAAGATTATCATCCATGGGCATGCTTGTCAGCATAATCCGATGGTCAGGATACTTCGCTATTATCAGTTTATATCAGACAGAGCCTTAAAGCCATGTTTCTCTAATCACAGTTGAGCATCTTGAGCTTTCCAGAAACAAATTAGAGATGGCAACCCTTTCCTTTTCTGATTTTGCCCTGCAGCTCTCTCCTTGTTTATTATCCCTCATTTGTCAGCTTCTTAATCACTCTGCTAATACCCATGCTAATACCAATTCTTCAGCCAGCACAGGTTAAAAATCAATTTTTGACCGAACCAACCAGACTTCAGCCTCACAGCATTACATTTACACATAGTCTAAAGGTCACGATTTCTGTAGCTAAATGCTGCCAGGGTAGAGGAGGCCGAGCCAGCTGCCTCAACGAAGATCATCTTTTTGGCTGCTTCAGTTGAGGCACAGGAGAAAACATAAGAAAAAGCAGAGGCAGAAAGCTGGCTGTGATTCCCCTTTCACATGTACCAGGCTGAGCAAGGGATCCAAACACACTTAGTTTTAAATTGCATTTGTAAGCCAGGCATGACTGAACACAATTTCTTACATTCAAATGCATCTGTTTGCAAAGCTTCACATTAAATTACAGTGTAAGTATCTCTGCCAACAGTTGACAACAGAGGTCCACAGAGTGGCCAAGTGTCATCATTTCTGGAAGGTATAGCATGTAGATGTTAACACTGAGCTTCAATAAGCTGCAAAAACTCTTGGAAGTCAGACCAGGGGGCCCCCTTCGTTCCTAACAATTCTCCAGTAATATGACACAGTACTCTCATGTGTTATTGCATTTGAAATGGAGGGGGAATCTACCACCCAGGCCACTCTGAGCAGCTCATCCTCTCTCCAACATAATCATCAATGCATGTTTTTGAAAGGGGTTATCATTTACCCAGAAACAATCAAAATTCAATAGTAGTAAACAGAAGAGTCAGACCCTGAGCAAAGACACTAAAAACTGCATAATAGGCAACTACAACATAGGCAGAGGCATACCAGAGTCTGAACAATGGCGTGGTTTGTTGCGTTCATGTGGGCATTGAGGGGGAAAGAACACTCTCCATCACAGTAGAATGCAGCGTAGCCCTCTGGTGCAATAATCCAATCCTAAAATGAGAGCAAATAGATCCACTCAATATTTTTTTCTCACTCAGAGAATTTAGAACTATATCAAACTGAGACTTGTTCAATGACAAAGTGAACTTCAGAAGGTGGCATGTGATGTGAAATGACTCTTTCTATTTTTTTTTAAGTACTTGCTTTGTTCATGCAAAACAGAGATGAAAATTAAATTAAGCTTAAAAATCTGTACTGAATACCAGCTAATGAGGCCATAAGGTGAATTGAAGATCAAAATATATTTGTAGAATACTTTTCCTCCTAAATCAAAAATCTTGAACATTTCTTGGTGCAACAAAAGTAATTAAAATGCATTCTCCTCCTTCAGCATACTCAATACCATTAACTGTATTATTGCGTGAGACTGAAGGTTGCTAGTAATTACCCGTTGGCATGTCAATGAATCACGCATTTTGAATATTTCTAGCAACACAGCATGGGCAAAAGACCACAAGAGGGAAACTATTTTAAAATGTTAATGAAAGCTGTGTGTTTAGTTTGCTGAATTACTCCTTTTGCCAGGTAATGTAAGTGTTGCAGGAAGGACAGAGAGGATTAAGTAGCTACTTCCTGGGGTTTGTATCTTTTTTTTTGTATCTCATTTCACCCTGAGTGTCACTGATCAAATACTGTACAGTGTAGCTTTGGCTTTCCAGCTGAAACTTTTAATTCTTAAGGTACTTTTTGGGATAAAAAGATATTTTCTCTATGACCACCTTGGCCACTGCGGCCACTCATCTGAGAACCTTGCACATCTTGGAGAATAACAGAATTTACTGTTTAAAATATTTAAAAATATGTTGATATCTTTAAAAAAATCTGTGATCCACAGAGATAGAATGGCTCACTTGTTCAGTAGCCTGAGTTCAATACCACAAGCCTGCTCTGTGGCCCTGGATGGGGTGCTTATGCTTTGAAGACTTGGGAAAACAGCCTCTGCCTGCTTCTTCAGGTTACTGTGAGGATAAATATACCACAAAGTATCAGACAGGATAATGAGGCCATATGAGAATCTGAGCTAGATACATAAAGTATGAGCTGTCACCAAAGAGATAACATACTTTTTCTCCTCATAGACTTGTTCTGGTCCTGGAGAGTTGTTTTAAAATAATTCAGAGAAATGTGAAATGCATAGACAGCCATCTCTGAGTTCTTAGTTACATATGCAATATGTCTAGGTTATAGGTTGCTGATGGCTTTCATGTGCTTTCTTTGTAGAGAGTTCCTTTCTTTCTGGAAAAAAAACCCCAGATTGATGTCTGTTGTCTTTTCTCATAATGCCCCTCCTCTGACTTCATGACTTTTTAATCCTTTTTTTTTTTTTAGTTACTGTATGGCAGGATTCCCCAGTTTTCCCCAGAAATTATATAAAATTAACTATGGTGTTATGAAGACCACTGAGCAACGATCCAAGATTTACTTCCCTAAGGATCCTACCCCAGTGAAATCTCTCTGACCTGCAGTAGACAGCACTAAACCAGGTTGAATTTAAGTGCAAATTAAATAAGTTCCGTTATTTGGTGTGGGTATTTTGGTTTCATTTACTGCAGATTCATTCATATCTTGAGTAATAGTTTAAATTTATGTGAATGAATCCAGATCATAAAGCCACAAATGTATGCAATATCTTTGAGAGAACAACTAAAAAACGTAAAGAGATAGTGACAGCAATACTCATAGGGATTTATTACAAAATGCATTTAAAGAATTTGTCTCTCATCAGTGATATACCAATTACCAGGAAGAAAACAGAGTGTAAATAATAGGGGACTGTAAAATAGATAGTTCCAATTTGAACTGACAGAAGAAAAGCATTTGTAACCATACCTGCCATCCTAAGTCTCGGAAGCTCACATAAAGTTCATGTTTCTTACATGCTTGCTTTTGCTCACTCGTGTTATAATCTACAGGAAGAGAATAATATTAATAAATTTTTTGGAAGCATTGGTAGAACTGACAAGATTTAGCTGTTTTTGAGATGTTTACCAAACTGTACAAAGGAAATAAAAACCATACTATATATACATATATACTAAAACCATTTATATTCCTAGGGTTGTTTGTAAATGGGGTGTTTACTTGGACATGCAGAATGAACACAGGCAGACATACAATTTGTGTACTAAAAATGCAAAATAATGCATACAGCATTAAGGGCAACAGGTTTACATGATGTCTGTTTGCTGGCTAGCTGGGTAGAGACCTCTGATAATATGCACACAGGTAATCAGAGAGTACAAGGGAGAGCCTGAACCAAGATACGGGGAAGTCATCTGTGTGTTGGCACAGTTTTAATTGCCAGGTACAGAATGTACCCCAACTCAAAAGATAAATTAACAATGATAAAAGTTGTCCTGAAACAACAGAATTTCCCAAAGCCTGTAATTGAAACACATAGCAGCACATTTTATATGCCTTCATTTCTTACCATATTTCCTGGAAATATTCACTACTTGATGATCTTTAGTTGGTAATGTAAACAAGTAGATTAACAGGTGCTTTTTAAAGGACTGAAAGTTTCAGCACGGTCAGAGATGTGTCAGGATAGGACAGAGAGAACCTTCCATACCTGCTTCCCCAGGACAATCGTAATCCTGGAGAAATTCTAGTATTTGTTCCTTACTGCTCCTAAGTAACAGGAAAAGAAGGCAACAAGGTCATGCCTCCATCACATTAGCACCACAGAGCTGGTTTATAGAGCTATTCAAGTGATGCCATAAGTGAGGTATGCAACAGAGCAGGGAGTACAGACTGTCTCCTCCGTTTCCAGTTCAAGAATGCTTAAAGTGAATTTTTTGGACCAAAATAACCATTCTGGCAAGGGAAAAAAAGTTGACCAAAAAAATTCACATCAACAAGGAAAAGCAAACCAACAAACAAAACCCCGTAAGACCCCCAAAAACAAGGAAGACATTGAAAAAGAAACAAAGTCTTTAGTTCCAGGAAAAGAAATATTTTTAGGAACATTTTTTTTAAAACATTATAAGCCTTGAGGTTGGCATGGGAAGGTCTCTGAAATTACACTGAAAAAACTCAGGATAATTAAGAGGGAGAGGTCTTTTTTCACATAAAATGAAAGGAAGGGAGTTCTACAGACTATGAGATAACCTATGTAGTTCTTTACTATCCTTACAGAAAACTCTTCCAAATATATGGCCTAAAGGAACTTTTCTGCAAATTTGTCAACTCCTTCTTGTCAGCTGTCCTGATCTCTTCTTTCATTGCTTCTCTGGGTTCTCTTCAGCTTCTTTCGGAAGATGGGATGGCCAGAACTGAACACAGTGCCAAATAAAGTAAAATAATTATTTTGTATTATTCCCAGATTATTTTCTGGTAGTATAACCCAGAGTAGGAATTTTGCAGCTAAACCACACTGGCAAATGTTGAGCTTCAGAATCTTTTTTTATATATTCCTACCTAGTCACCTTAATAGTCTGTTATAGTTGTACAAAACAGTGAATAAAAAGCAGATTTGGGGGGTGAGGATGTTGATGACACCTGCAGCATGATGGGGTTGCAGCAAACATAGTACAATACAGTCAAGATTCTGAGGGATGACATCAACAAGAACATTGCAACCCACTGGAAGTCAGGCAAGTATGCCACAAAGTCACTGTGGCGGACTAGGAAACTCTTGACTGAACTCTAATTCAAACTGGAAGCAAAAGTAATGTGAATTTGGGATGAACTACACAGAAGTAATATAAACACATTGCCTGGGCATGCAGAGACAGATGTTAGGAAAGCTAAAGCTGAGCTGGAGTTGAAACTTTTGAGGTCATCAAGAAGCACCTCTATAGGTACATCCACAGCAAAAAGAAAACATAAGAAAAATATAGATTTGTTGTTCAGTAGAGTGAAGGACCTGGGGGTAAGGAGTCAAAACAGGTTAAGGTACTCAGTGACTTTGTCTTGTTTTTTACTCTTAAGATTTGCCCTTAGGACTTCCAAGTTCCTGATCCTAGTGGCTGAAGTTCTATCCATAGTAAAAGAAGTAGAGTTACCAACCAGTTAAACAATGAAGATACATGAGTACACGTGAGCAGAAAGGATGAATTTCAGGGTGGGGAATGAGCTGACCAACATCATTGCAAAGTCACTTCCTACCATTTCTGAGTGTTCATACACTGGAGGATTTTTCCAGTGATTTAAACTGGAAAATGTCACACCCATCTTCAAGAAGGACGATCAGCTTAACCTCCGTTTCTGGGAAGTCTGTGGAAAAAATTCTTATGGAAACTCTGTCCAGGCACATGAAGAACAAGAAGGTGTTTGGGAACAGTCAGCATGACTAGTTCAAACTGTGTCTTACTAACCTGACTGTTTCCTGACTAGTTCTGTGGGCTTTTGAAGAGCATGGGGTATTGTTTCCCGTGCTTTTAGGAAGGTTTTGGATATGGTCTCCCATAGTATCCTAGAGTCAAATTGGTCAATCCAATCAATAACTTGGGATACGTAAGACTATACTGTATGAGAAACTTGTCTAGGCTGCTGGGCTCAAAGGGCTGGTGTCAGTGGTACAAAGTCTGCCTGGCAGCTGGTTACTAGGGGTCAGTACTGGTGCCAGTACTGACTAACATCTTAGTTAGTAACTTGGACAATAGAACAAAGTGTGTTCTCTGCAAGTTAACAGGGGATACAAGATCTGTGAGGAGTGCTCGATCATCCAAACTACCAATAAAAGGTAAAAGATCCAGAAGAGATTCAATTAGATGTCACTCAAAATACACACACAAATTTTACCCTTATTGGTAACATGCTCTTTGAATTGGCTTTTTCTTTATTTTTTAACAGGCTGTGTACCTACTTTCTGTTGAATACACGTGGGCCCCAATATGACTGCCAAAATTGTGTCAGAAGCTGTCCACAAGTCAAGATATGTCCATTTGTAGTACTAAATAATTTAGGTTAGGCTTTCTAATCTATAATACCTCAAACCCTCATCCTTTTTTGAAGGTGAAGACTGCATTCTTTCCTATGGTATTTTCCTAGCCCTTCAATGACAGTCATTAAAGGATCTCCACAGACAGCTGCCATCTCAGATAATCTCAGTTGTCCCAGGGCATGCCGAGTCAAAATATACACCCACATCCCATGGGAGTTCTGTGTCTTTCTGGAGTAGCAATTAGAAGGAAGGCAGGATGCCCTGAGACATCACAAGTTTTCAAAAATCTGTATGTCTTTAACATAATCAAAACCCCTAACTAATCCTTTGTGCTGAATTGTCTGCAATAATCTAGCATGTTCTGCACACACACTAGAAGTAAGGTAAAGATAATCAAAAGTAAAGGAACTTGAACTTTGGAAAAACAAAACTGTGTTTCAATGATAATTCTTCACAAGGATCAGTGCTCATAGGAAGCAAATATTGAGATTTTCTCTCTCAGTTATTAGCAGTAATTTTAAATTCACGTATATAGAATACAAGTCACTTTGCAAAAAAAATTGTGACTAAAACATGTGGAAAAGATATGCATGTGAGAAAGTTAGAAAAGTCACAGCCTGGTTTTAGATAGCACCCAAGCAGGCAAACAAACAAAATTTCATGAGGACTTTTTTTTTTTTGGCAGGGGAAATAAAGGCATATCAATGTGTATATATATATTATTCCAAACTACTACATTTTTAATTAATTAGTGTGACACAAATCAGTAAAATATAGGAAATGTAGACATAAACATTGTTTTCTGGTTTTATCTCACTGCATTACAAACAAAAAATATGTAGCTTTGTTTTGCAGTTTTCTGGTGTAAGTCAATATTCAGTATTTAAATCTGGATATTCTCTAGTGCCCAATTGCACTGTAACTCTTTTTACAAAAAAATTAAAAAATTAAAATTAAGCCAACTTTGGTTTCAAGGAAGAGTTTCATCATGTACTTTGGGAACGAATTGTCCAGTTTTGGTTTAGGTTTTTAATATTTTTTTATCTACAGTTTGACAAAAATAAAACTGGGCAAATAATAATCAGTTCAATCCTCTGTGCATAGCAGGCAGGTGGAGTCTGAATGCTAAGATTAATTCTATCTGTCTTTATAGTGCATTGAGGTCATCTTCTCTTGAAGTTCTTAGCAACACAAGGATGCTGATTTTATGACTCTGCATCTTAATGAATAATTCAAAAAGTGTCTTGTCCATTGGAAGGGAGTTGCCGAGTAGAGCTTTTGGTTTTGGATGTGCTCAGATTACAGTAAAGCTAATTGCTGAGGTCCAAGAACTTAAAAAAGAAGAAGGTAAAATACAAAAGGCAAGAGGCAAAAGGAAGATGGCAGAAGGCAAGGGCAAAAGAGGAAAAAAAAGAAAAAAAAGGGAAAAAAAGGGGAAAACGCCCAAGAAACAGAAAATTAAGAAGAAAAAAGCAAGAAGAAAATGAAGACATAATGGTAGTGAAGTTGATATTGATGAATAGAGAGAGGTATAACTAAAGCCTTTGACATACAAATGACAACACACCTATCTGGGTCTGACTACGTAACCTCCAGCTTTGTAGGTGATCATCTTTCACTGTCAACATCTGTCTTACATGCTGTAGGTACAAGATTATGGAACAAGCTTAGAAACAAATTACTTTCATCACACAATAGCCTTTGCCCATCATTGTGTCTTTTATGTCAAGTGTCTTGCATCAGGGAGTGAATAAGAATTGAATTTAGTCTATTGAGTCTCCCATGAGAAAGATGATGGCCAGAATTCTTTGGTCTTTTTCCCAAAAACTTTTGCCTTTAAATATGAAGAGAAGAAGATGTACTTCTGAAGTGCTGCTTATTACTGGAAGCTGTAGAGAACTTGGAGAATTAGCCTTCTCCCACAAACGTGAAGGGATGCAGTGTATCCCCCAGTTCCTGGGGCTGGTGAAGAGGAGGTAAAGGGCATAGCTGTTCCCCGATAGCAGGCTCTCCACGTGGAGGGACTATATTCTGCAAAGACTCAATGATTGGAGTGATAAGAACATGTTCTCCATGTCTTTTTTTGCACACTGGAGCGTCTGAACAGAATCTGTACATTGCCTTTGTAGCCTTCAGCAGGCTCATCCACAGTATTTAATGAGTACTGTTGCAATAACTATTAAAAGGAAAAGTGTTGTGAATCACCTATAGTGCGAAAAGGCCCATCAGTGATCATTAACAGCACTCAAATAAAAGAAGTTTTTTGATTTGTGACATGGGGATTGTTGAGGCCAACTGCAAGGCAGGAGCATGGAAGCTGATTTGCCATGGTGCAGGAGCTACACCTCCAAGGAGTTTTGCTACAGAGAATGTTGTTGTTTAAGACTGTGGTGATTTACCTACCTTCAGCTTTGCCATCTATTCCAACCTGTCCATATCTTGCTGCCTCCATCTCCAGTCAGAGGTCAGCATCCCTGATTTTGATGCAACTCCGTGTGCAATTGCTTCTTAACCTTATTTTGTTTTAACAGTATGGTATTCTTGAACTGCAATCTCTTTTGAAAGAGATGGATCAATGTACATAGTGATGTAACTATACTTATATAGACCTTAAAAATGTTAGGAGAAAATTTGTTTCATTATGCACATTTTATTAGAGATGTTCCGGTATTTTTGTTTTACAACAGCTCTGGAGCATGACTGGATGCACAGACAAGGCTGAAAAGTATTTTTGATCTTCAGACAGCTCTTCCTGAGGTAATTCTCATGTCAATGCAACTTACCAGCATGTGTTAAGGCTGATTTTTTCCCAGGTTAAACCAGCAAGTAGCTTGTGTTGCGATTTTTCTCCTATAATCAAGGAGGTTTAAGAAATCTGTTCAATTCTCATTTCCTCATGCACTAGAAACATAGGATTCAATCTGAAAGTGTGATATTTATATTTAGGTATCATGTTTGTAGCATGTACTTAGATGATTTTCCCTTCACCCAAAATAATGTGACTCTCCAAATTAGCAGACATTTTCTGGGAAATATGGAAAATTATTTAAATAATTTCTTTGACTTCTTTAGCAACTCAATAGCAATTTCTGATTGTTATGGTAAAATTCATCCTTCTGCAAAAGATCAGGGAAAGGCTTTTGTATTACATTAGAGGAGTCTCTAACCTGCTTCTGTCAAGGTTCTGGGACAGCTATAAGTGATGCATATTGATCATAACACTCCTCAAATAAGTGAATTCCACTCCCAGGCTAAATTCTTCCCACTAAATAATGATTTGCTTACTTGGGATAAGTAAGCAAACTCCATGGGGTTTAGGAATAGCATCTATATTGAGGTTTTGATATGCTGTTACTAGATCTGCCATGCTTCTAGGAAGATACATTTTCACACCCTGTTCCCAAAAAGTAGAAATGTTTGTTCAAAAGTGAGAATATTTATGAGACTTTATGCCTCAAGTTGGAAGGAGTATTTCAGGAAAGAATTGGAGCAAGACTTATTTCAGTCTCTAATGGGACTAAGAACATTTTCATAGGCATTATTTTCAGTACCTCTCAGGTAGGTAAGGAACAAATTGACTCCGTTCAGGGATATACTGTGTAGTTACATCAGTACATGTCATCTGGTCTAAATTCAAAAACAGTTTACATTTTTTCAGATTGGTTAAGCTTCCTCATTTCCACTATTCAGATTTTTGTGTTACCTCTTTTCTTCTTCAGCTGAGAGACAGTTTAACAAAACATCTAAACACTATCCCTTGCTGAGGCTTCCTACACAAGTAGCTGGGGTGCAAACATTCTCTTTTTTTTTTGTTATGCATAGCAAAGATATTAAACAATTGCCAAATGTGTAGCATTAGTTTCAAGCTCAGATACAGCCTTTCTTAAACCACTTGGTCATTTCACCCTCCTGGAGCCCATGGGACTTGTAACTGACCTGACTTACAGAAGGTAGATCCTGCTTATGTTGGTAGGGCCAACATAACAAAAGAGGTCTGGGAGCACAGCGTCTGACAGTTCAGCCAGTGAGCAGTATCTTCTTGAGCTGGTGTGACTCCATGGTGTTTGAGCAGGTGCCTGTAACTCCTATAAACAGACTAGCAAAGCATAGTTCATCTTACCCCCAACGCTTGGCATCCTAGAAGACTCCTGTTGACTACTAGATTTGTTTCGGTTCTGATTTTTCCTTTTATTGTTGGCTGCTCGGACGGAACGGAAGAGCACTTCACTTGCCTTGAAGAATGCAACCATGAATGGTTGCTTTGACTGAGGCCCATGTCTTCCAATCAGGCCAGCAGACTTAACATTGATACTTCGACCTATAAAGTGATGGAAATTGCAAGTTAAAAGGTGAACTTCTGCCCCTCCTGAAGCCACAGTGGGAGTTAAACTGCTGACTGAAACATACCACGGAATTTACCTTAATCCTGAATTCACGTGATTAAGAATCCTAACTGCATTTTGTTGAACAGAACTTAAAAGACAAAAAAATTCAACCACTTGCAAAAGTTTCAACAGCATTACAGATACTTTTCTATTGCATAAAATTGCAGTCTCTGTGTGCTATATATCTTACTCATTACACAGAGATTTAAATTCAGTCTCATGCACACATCTATAGAATTCAAAAATAAATGAGCCCCATTAAAGTCTATTTGCTACAGAAAGGATAATGTAATGTGGTCTTCTAATTTTTGCATCATTTCAGCGTGACATGTGGAACCTTATATCCCCAAAGCAAATCAGTAGGAAATAGAAGTGTGGATAATAAATATACTTCTGCTTTAAAAATAACTATTTTACAGCGTTACTCAAACTGATGTTCATTCACCAGTAAAGGTAGGAAGTCATTCAGTCTTTCAATAGAAGAAAGTCTGAAATATGTGCATTATTGACTCTGGTTCTGTTCCCAGGGGATTTGCATATTTCTTCAAAATATTTTTTCAGTCAGGACTGTGTGGTAATCTCACTGTATTATGCGGTCTAAACCTCACTGAAAGAAAGGAAAGCAAAACAAGTCAATGAAACTGCATCAGTGACATTTTAGCAAATAAACCCTTGCTCTTAACAGAATTTATTTTGGCAGCATAAACACTTTTGTGCGTACGTGTATTATGCAGAGCCCTTCAACCGTCAGAAAATGAGACAGTGTCATGTGAAGTTGTGCAGCTGTGCTGGGTGGGGGACACAGAGGTCCTTTAAATGGGGAGGTGTGGGCACAGGCACCGGGTGCGCCGTGCGGCATCAGGGCGCCTGAGGATTTCTCTAAACCGACTGGAAAACTTTGCTATGCGGGCGATGGAGGAGCATCTGCCTCACAAACATATAATGCTGTTAACTCAATCATCCTGAAAAAGAACTTACAAACAAGCATAGGAGTAAACCTTATAGAAATAAGCATATAGGTTTCCTTTTCAAACATAAACTTACAGTGGCTGCATGCCAGAGTCTATATTTCTTAAAAAAACTCTATCACTGGCTTAAATGAAAGAGGCAGTTTGATTTGTGGTTAAAGTAGTTTCCATTCTACTTCCACTGTAACAAATGTATTAATTCAGCTCAGACTTCCTCCTTCTGGCAGCCCTTTTGCAGTAAAAAGAGAAATTAGAAGTTCCAGCCAAATACCATACCTTGAACTGACCCACTTCAATACATAAACACTTTTACAACATGTTTATTCAGGTGTAGCACTTTAAATTGGTTTAAGATGTTTCCAGTGACAGAGAGCCCAGCACAGGCAAGAGAAGAACTGAGAAAGTTAGCAGTTATGGAGCAGAGTAATTGGCAAAATATTCTGAACAATTTTGATAATTACTTTTTTGACTGCAAGGGAAAAATATATTTGTTGAAGCTTCTGATTTCATTTTAAATGGATTTTTAGTCCTGTGTTTCTTTAATTCATCTTTTCATGTGTTTGAGTTACTATTAAATAATTCAGTAACATTAATTTCTATATGTTCCAATCTTCTATTGCAGGTCAGATATGAAAAACTGTACAGACTATTCTCTATTCATTGCAACATGGACAAGCTGGTCTCTTACCACAAAGTTCCAGGTTTCCCCTCATTTCTAGAGGGAATATTTTTACCATTTTTCTTTATTTTTTGTTCCAGTGACTCTCAGAATTTTAATTTTATCTGTAAAACATTCATGCCTTACTGTGGACATTTTAAAAATACTATTAGATTTATATATTGAGGACTGTAAGGATGTGTGAAGCTTTTCTGAATTTAAATCTAGGTTTTCTGAATTTACAATGGTGGATATTGTGTGTGAAGCAAAATATCCTTCAAACCAATGTGAACTCCCTTTAAAATAACTTTTAATATTATTAAGTTTCCTCTGGGTTTCCTTTGGACTTCAGCAATGAGATGACTATTAAGATTCCACAAGTTAAGGCTTACTTGGTTATCCAGGGTATAGAGATATACTATAAAAAATTAATCCTGTAACCCACAGCCTTTTTACACACAGAAACAGCTTATGTGACTTTATTCCTTTATTTTCTTGATCTTCTAAGCAGCCAGCATGAGTTTTTAGGACTCCTTTGTTCAATCCATGAATGGTATACACACTGAATCTGCTTCTAGTGCAGGCAACAGGAAAACTTTTATTGACTTTTGTGGGTTAATCATTAAACTTTTCTCTCTCAAACATATCATATACCTAAGCTTAACTACAACTTTCAGAAGACAAAACAATCAAAATATACACTGCCCTTGAGACACTATATTTCTTCCGAGGAGGATCTCTTGAACTGTTTGGTTTGGAAATTCAAACCACATATGTTGTCTCCATTTTAGGTCGATTCTTTGCAAAAGAAAGTTTGCATTTACAGACCTTCTATTATCCTTTATTTAAAAAAAAAAAAAAAAGGTATAGGTGAGGGAAATTTCATTCAGTATAACACAAAGGTTTGCCCCTTCCTGAACAGGGAGCTGCCACACCAGCAGTTCTATCTGTATGCCCTGGTCTTATTAGGTAGTCCTTACCTTTGTTCATAGTGTGAATTTCAGAATACAGTAAGAAAAACCTTACTCTAACCTGAACTGCCCCTTGTAGCAAAAAGCATTCATGGGCTTCATTTTTGTAAATGATTTTAGTCTATCATTTCTTGCAGTGTTTAGAAAACTCTTACCTTCAATGGAAATTGAAAATCCAGGTCTCTCAGGCATGCAGTTGTTCTATACTGTGGCATTAGAGCAATATTTTCTAAAATCAACTGAGTGACTCAGGCTAACCTGCTTAACTGCACTTGGAGCCTTCCCCAGATGAAACTCATAAAACCAAAACAGCAAGGTGTGCATTTCTGCTTCTCTTGAGCATCTCTGAACAAAAATTGAACATGGTCAAGCATTCTGAAAAATGGGTTGGTTTTTATCCTTCCATGTCTTTAATTCTGAGGATTTCAAAGATTTTTCTTCAGATTTTAGAAGAAAAGAAGTATAAGAAACCAGAAATCAGCTTGTGCCTTCTCCACTGAACCTTGCATCTGCAATTGCCCCTACACCTAGGGGTTAAAAAAAAAAAGGCATAACAGATGGACTTACTCAGTGCTGTGACAGTCTGAAGCCTTTGTATTCTTCACATTTTGGCATGTACTTCTCAATCATGCTATGATAACTAATTATCTCATCTACATATTGACAGGTATATTTGGAGACTTAGACTTGTTTAAAGCAATATGCTCCAAATTTGCTGAAGTCCTCAGTCTTTATTCATGTGATTCTGAGTCTTTGGCAAGATACATTTGTTTGACTTGGCATTTAAACTTATTTTTGGCTTTTATACTGTTTGATAGTAAAATGCCCTTAGCAGTTTCATAAAAGCTTGCATAGAAGTGCAGGTTTGACTCTCTGAACTGAATGAATATTATTTCTCTTCTCGTTCTGTCTGTTTCTCCTCACATTCTGTCCTCTTATAATAAAGGAATCACTGCTGCAAAAATAACTGTGAAGTTCAACTTAAAAAAAAGTTCTACCTCAACAATCCTGATGATTTTTTTTACCTACAAAAGAGGAATAGAACTTAAGTGATAACTGCAGAGTTGTTTACTGTGTCACTATGTCTGCTTTTATGCTGTCCCATGTGGTCATATCATACAATTCTTTTCATGAACTGATCAAGTTCCATCTTAAAAGTTCATTTCCCCCTCAGCTGCTCCAAATGGAAATGCAAGAGCTCTTCAAGCTTTCAATAACAATCTGCCCTGCAGTCCTGACCTGGAAACATCTCCTCGTTTTTCACAGCATTCAGAAAGGTGACTTTTTCTGAGATTGCCCGTGCGGATGCAAATGACAGTGGTAAGATTTGTGCCTTGACTGTCTCTCCTCAGGCAGTATATATTTTATGTGAAACATTGATCAGACACTAATTTTGCAAGACCTTTCAGCCATTATGCATCTTGGCTGGATTTATGCTGGCAACACAGTACAATGAGTAATTCCAAAATCCATTATTTTAACCTGAGTCATCAGACTGCAGCAAACCACTCATTTTGTTATGAAAAACCAGCACTTATTTACTTTCAAAAGTGCTCAAGAAAACGCAAAAAAACGTTTTACAGATTAACCACTACTTCTAGGTCACATCAGTTATTTTGGTAATAATTTCACATATCTGTAGTTAGAAATGACAAAATTTAGTGATGCTGAGAATTTATTTCAGTACACTTTGATGAAAAAAAATTCAAATTCCAGTGTCACACCTATGGTTGCCTCCTCGTGGGGAGTGACATCTGAAATGAGGATTGGGAAAGGCCTTTTGGAGAAAGATCCTGAGTAGACAAGGTCCAATAACATCTAACATTTGAGAAAAAAACTACCCTGAGGCTCTGAGTCTGAAAGCTCACAAAGTAGTTTTCAAAATTAGATAGAAACTTTTGTGGTTTCTCATGCCTGAACAGTGTTCTGGAGAGCAATGGGATTTGAAACAAAAGAACTGTGGTAGAGTTTGGCTACCTAAGCTTGAATCAAGGTTTATTTAAAAAAAAAGAAAAAAACCTAACAACATATAGGCGACATATGTATATATGTAATACAACTTCAACACTCCGACTCCAAAGCATTTTTTACTGTCTCTATTGTACCTCTACATAAACTGTTAAGCAAACTTTTCCTTTAGTGGACACATTTATCTATATCAACATAAAATATATTTTTGAAAAAAGTTTAATGTGTTTTATTAACTCTTCTGCTCCTTGGAGGCTTTAAGGAATTCTGACAAATGGGTGGTCTTGGATGCTCTGCTATGCCTTTTCTAAGTCTCACAGCTCTAGTCAGCAGTAAAGATTCAGCCTTTGTTCATCAAATCTTAAATT